GATAAGAAATTCCTTACTGTAAAATTTATATTGTTAATGTTGATAGTGTTCGATAGAAAATAGTGTCACTAGCGCCCCCTTCATTTCCGGAATGCAATAGTCCCATTTCCATATAAGGTATGGGACTGACGGAAAGGTCGGTCACCGCCCCGTTCTGCATGCTGCAGCGAAGTGTACTTGGGTGAGAGTGGGCGAGGCTGGAGCAATGGCAGACAAGAGGAAGAAAACGGATGACAAGACAGAAAACTAGAATAAAACATTAATACAGACACCAATCATTACAGATGTAACGTTAATGTTACCAGCTACCTCGTTCAACCTCAGTATAAGCTGTTTAGATACCTACATTTAGTTATCCCAACTTATTCTGTTGTGGATCAGAATTAAAGGCATGCCATATATGGTCAAATCACTGTAATTGTGCACTGCCTCTGTCTAAAATAAAAAGTAAACAAAATACAACGAGAAACCTGATCACGTTAGCGCACGGCCTGTTGAGTCTGCTGATTTGGTGTTTTTCCTGATATTTGTGATTTTTTTTTATTTACCTGCTGGATGTGCTCATGTTTGTATTTAGTAATATTCATGATTGTTTCTATTTTAAAATTATGGAAGCCCATTTCCGCCACCCTGATAAAAAAAATTAAACTTGTATCTCATAATTATTAGCTGTCTCATAATTTTGAGATAGCTAAGTCATAATTATGAGATAAAAGTTTTTTTTGTTTTGTCTTCAAAGTGGCGGATATGAGCTTCCATTTTAGAACACGATGTAGAGCATGATTATTTGTTATGTAGAAATATGGAAATCGTAATAACATTGGACCTCATGCAAGAACCGTTCAAATGAACAGATTTGTTCTTAAGTTGTGCGTACGAGTGATTTAGGAGAATTTGTGGCATTCACCAATTTTTTTTGTATTCTAAGATTTTCTTCAGATATGAACAAAATTCACGAGTGGTCCAGACCTGTCGTATATTTTATGAGCAGTCAGTCTGCTGTTATCTGAGGCATTTTGGTGTTCTCGCCCCCTGCCTCCCAGACTGGGCACTGCACTAATCACCCACACCTGCACCGAGTTGGCTCATCACCTCCAGGCTTTATAAGGCAGTGCTGGAGTTCATCTCGTCGCTGAAACATCGCTTTTGTTTGGTATGAGCTCAGCCTGCTACCTGTTGTCCTCCTGAAGAAATGATCTTACCTGTGTTCTTGTGACTTACCTGTTTTCAGAAGCGATCTCCAGCACGTTTACCTTCTGCCTTGGAACCCGAGCCAACTCACCAGGATCTCATGCGCTGCCTCCCACGCGACACTGTAAATAAATCTGCACCTGTAAATACTCACCTGTGGATACTCACCTGTTGGACCTCCTCCTCCAAGTTTCATCTCCTTCTCCAACCCGTAAGCCATCTCTTCAACTGCTTACCTGTCAAAAACCAATACTGGAAAATCTGCCCATTTCTCATCTCTGTAAAAACTCTGTTTCAGATCCCGTCCCCAGTTCCCGGCACCTGTATAAATAAAATCTCTTGCCTTTTGTATTCATCGTTTCCGTCTCTGTTTGTCAATAGTATTTGCACACAATGGGCCTCATGCAAGAACATGTTTGTATTTTTATCCTAAATTTCTCTTACTTTTGTTCGTACAAAGGGTTCGTACGAAC